GAAAGCAAGCCACCAGGTCCAGGACTCAAACCACAGTCGGCCACGTGGGAGGCTCGCACCTTAACCCCCACGCCACCTGCTGACCCCTAAGAGCATGTTTACGGGAAGCGGCCATTAATCACAGCCACCTTCATGATGCTGACTTTACGCCGAAGCTGGGGACAGACCACTGCAGTGAGCACCGAGCGAGTGGTCCCAAGGCCGCCATGAGCCTCCCCTCACACGGAGCTGGGGACAGACCACTGCAGTGAGCACCGGGCGGTGGCCCCAAGCCCCGCCATGAGCCTCCACTCACACGGGAGCCTGGGGCCGGGCCTCCCTCCCGACTCTGCTCCCGCGGACCCCGGATGGTGCCCAGGGAGGAGACCAGGCGCAGCGGCCCTTACCTTGCCCCCCGCGGGGCCCTGCACAGCAAAGCAGAAGAGGGTGGAGGGCTTGGCGTTGCCCTCGACCTTGAACTCCGCGAAGGCGGCGGCGTGGCCTTCTATGGCCTGGGAGACCTTCCTGTCCACTGAGTACAGCTGTATCGCCCCGACCACTCGGTTTTGCTGGAAAAGATATGCAAAGGAAGGGAGAGAAAAGCCGTCAACGTAAATAAGTGATTCTTTTTTTTTTTTTTTACATTAATTCATTTATTTTTACTATGATTACTTTTTTAAAATTTGACCAGAGAGACCCTTGCCCATCTTCCAGTGGTAGATAGTTTTTTGCCTCAGGTCAAAGAAAGGTCATCATGGTGTAGGTGGGTTTCTTACTGCTTCCTTTCAGAAAATGGCTTTTACTTTGAATTTGAGTAGGTCTTATGGTGTAGTTCTTGTTTATGTTTTCCACTGGCAACTAATTACTACCGTTTTACTCATGGACCTGAATGAGGTGTGCATGGGTTTCTTCACATACTCCTGCCCCATGAGCACACCTTGGCAGGCCCAGCACATCTATCCTGTGGAGCGTGGCCCTCTCAGGTCTCTTTCACCGCTTTCAGTCCTCCTCTTTCTCTCTCTTTTTTTTTAAAGAGAGATTTTCTTATAGGGCATGTGAGCTCGCCTGAAAGACAGAGACAGAAAGTGAGAAATCACCCCCCCGGGGGGATGGCCATGCTGCAATCCCTTCTCCTCCATTCTCCTCTCGGGATCTCGGGCACGCACGCACACGTGCCCGGAGTGAGTTTAAGTCACCAGGTCCGGGACTCAAACCGAGGTCGAGTTCAGCGACATAGCCATTACGCCCACTGCTGGTCCCAATAAATGATTCTTAAAACACTGTTTCTTGGGACCAGCAGATGGCATAATGGTTACATTGCTCGACTCCCACGTAGCCGACTGCAAAGGCCTGGACCGGTGGCTTACGCAGGGTGCATATACGTGTATGCTCAAAATCCCAAGAGGAAAATAGAGGAGAAGGGATTGTGGCATGGCCATCCCCTCCAGGGAGTGATTTCTCACTTTCTATCTCTCTGTTTTTCTGTCTCTACGGTGAGCACATATGCCCTAAAATGAAAAATCTCTCTAAAGAAAAAAAAAAAAGGTTCTAAAATGAAAGACATACACTTTAATATATTTCTTCTCCTAGGAATGTAAGTCTGGGGACCAGCAGTTAGTGTAATGGCTATGTCGCTGGAC